AGGTGAATGGATATTGTTCTATCACTGAAAGCACTGAACTTCAGGACAGATCTTGAAACATGCTTTGTGACGATGAATGCCACACCATTCCTCTTCAATTTGTCATTTCCAGCGTAGTAGATCAAACGGTTATCTGATTCAAAATGGCCAAAACCAGTCCATTTCAGCTCACTAGTGCCTAGGATATCAATCTTTATGTGTTCCATCTCACTTCTGACAACTTCCAATTTTCTTAGATTCATACTTCATACATTTCATGTACTGATTATCAACGGATGTTTGCAGCTGTTTCTTCTCATATTGAGTCATGCCACTTCAGCAAATGGAGGCCCCGAAAGCTCCACTTTATCCATATCATTAAGGTAGGCTCTACTGTGATGATACAGCTCTTTCCTAGTCATATTTTGAGTGCCCTCGAACCTGAGGGACTCATTTCCAGCACTGTATCAGACACTGTTTCAGGGCTATTATTTTCCAGTAATATATCAGACAGTGTTTCACTACTATTCATAAGGTTCTCACTGGCCAATTCTTTGAGAACTGGATGGCCTCTTCCTTCTTCTGAGTCTGGTCAGTCTGGAAGCTCCACCGAAACTGGTCCACCCTGGGCACCCCTACTGGTACTACCTCTAACCTCACAATAACACACAAGCCACCACAGTATGATGAACCAATAGACAAGTTAGTCTCCCTTAGCTGTTCCAACCACTCCACTCACTTCCTGGGTTACCCCCTATCTGTTCCTGCTGGCCCTATCTGCTACTGCTCCCCACCACCTGGGGATCTCCCCTGCCTGCCATACCTGTTCCGGCCACTGGTCCTGTCTGCCGCTGCTCCCTGCCACCTGGGGGCTGTCCCCTGCTGCTCCCAGCCCCAAAATATAGGAAGTCTTAAAACCAACAATAAAAAGTCTTAAAACCAACAATAAAAAACTAATAACCCAATTAAAACGTGGACAAAAGATGTGAACAGACACTTTATCAAAGGAGATAACGTAGATGGCAAATAAGCATATGAAAAGATGCTCAGAATGTAATATGTCATTCAAAAAAAAAAAAAAAAAAAACCTCAAACTCATTGCCATTGAGTCAATTCTGACTCACAGTGACCCCCATTGGGTTTCCAATCCACACAAGTAGATTGCCCCAACTTCCTTCTGCACAGTGGCTAGTGAGGTCAAACCTCCGACCTTCCGGTTAGCAGTCAAATGCCTTAGGCACTACACCCCCAGAAATAGTAATAAAAGGAATTATAAATAAAAACAAGAATGAGATACCAATACACATCTATTACAAATGACTAAAATCTAAAACACTGACAATACCAAATGCTGGTGAAGATGTCAAGCAACAAGAATGTTCATTAGCTGTACAGGGAAATACAGAACGGTAGAGCCACTTCAAAAGATAGTTTAGTAGTTCCTTACAAAGCTAAAAACTGATTTACCAATGAATCCAGCAATCACACACCTAAGCATTTACCCAAATACGTTGAAAATATATGTCCACATAGATATCTGCACACGAATGTTTACAGTAGCTTTATTCATAATTCCCAAAAATTGGAAGCACCTAAGGTATTCTTTGATAGCTAAATGGATAAACGCACTATGATATATCCATACCCAACTCAAAACCAAACCCACTGCCCTCAAGTCAATTATGACTCATAGCGACCCTTTAGGACAGCGCAGAACTACCCCAGAGGGTTTCCAAGGCTGTACATCTTTACAGAAGCAGACTGCCTCATATTTCCTCCCACGGAGTAGCTGGTAGGTTCCAACAGCTGACCTTTTGGTCAGCAACCAAATGCTTTAACCAATGTGCCACCAGAGCACCCTGTGGTACATCCATACAGTGGGGTATTACTCAGCAATAAAAAGAAATGACCTGTTGTTCTACAAAAAACATGGAAGAATTTTAAACACACACTGCTAAGTGAAAGAAGTCCTCTGGAAAAGCTACATAAATATGATTCCAAATAAATGACATTCTGGGGAAGATAAAACTAGAGAGACAAAAAAACGATCGGTGGTTGTCAGGAATTCAGGGAGAAGGATGAACAGATGGAACACAGGGCATACTATTTGGTATGTATTACAATGGTAAACAAAGGACATTATGCATTTGTCAAAATCCTTAAGACTGTACAATACAGAGAGTGAATCTTAATGTAAACAATGGACTTTAGCTAATAATAATGTACCAATATTGGATCAACTGTAACAAATGTACCACATAAATGCAAGATGTTAATTTAAAAAGAAAAGACAAACTGGAAAAAAATATTCTGCAACCTGTCTGATAAAGGAATCTTGAAAAACTATGGGAAACAGTACACACACACACACACACACACAAATACCAAAAACATTAATAGTTCATAAAAAATACAAACAGCTTTAAAATGTTAATAAAAAAAAATTCAGTATCTTTAAATGAAAGGGAAATGAAGACTTAGATGACATTCTTTCCCCAAGTGTGGTAATAGCACGCTAGTTAGGCTTTAGGAAAATTGCCATTCCAGAAGATAAACTGATATAACCTCTTTTGTAATTTTACAGTCTCTATTCAATGTTACAGGGAGTTCTGGTAGCATAGTGCCTAAGGCACTTGACTGCTAACCAGAAGGCTGGCGGTTCAAACCCACCAGCCACTCCTCGGAAGGAAGCTTGGGCATTCCTACTTCCGTAGTGATACTGCCTCAGAAACCCAAGGAGGGGTCGCTATGAGTCGGGGCCGACTCGATGGCAAACAACAACAACAATTCAATGTTACAAACTTACTCATTTGTCCCAAGGAGCTCTGGTAGTGTATGGTTAAGGCATTTAACCAAACAAAGGTCAAACAAAAGGTCAATGGTTCCAACCCACCAGCTGTTCACAGGAGCAAGATGAGACAGTCTGCTTCCAGAAAGATTTACAGCCTCAGAAACCCTATGGAGCAGTTCTACTCTATCTTACAGGGTTGTTATGAGTCAAATTAACTTGAGGCAATGGATTAGGTTTGTTATCCTTTGTCCCAATAAATTCACATCTAGAAATTTACCCTTCAGGTATCCCCCAAAATAGGCAAAGATGAATATCCAATAATATTCATTACCATATCAAACACTGAAAACTACATAATTTAATTGTCTACCAATAAAAATAAAAACCAAATGCACTGCCATCATGTCAATTTTGACTCATATAGCAACCCCCAAGGCAGTAAATCTTTACAGAAGTAGATTGCCCCGTCTTCCTTCCATGGAGTGGCTGGTGGGTTTGAACCACAACCTTCTGGTTAGGAGTCAAATGCCTTAAGCACTGTGCCACCAGATTGCTATAACTGTCTACCAATAAAAAAACAAACCCACTGTCGTGGAGTCAGATCTGACTCAAAGCGACCCCTCCTTAGGTTTCTGAGGCAGTACCAGTACAGAAGTAGATTGCCCAATCTTCCTTCCAAGGAGCATCTGGTGGGTTTGAACCGCCAGACTTCTGATTAGCAGTCAAATGCCTTAGGCACTATGCCACCAGAGCTCCCAATAGAGAACTTAAATTACAGTATACCCATGCAAAGAAATACTATACATTCATTTAAAAAATAAAAAACTACAGCTCTAACTCAAGCATGACTTCTAAGATATGTTGTCAATTTTTTAAAAAAAAGAGCAAACAACTTAGTATGCTACCATTTGTGAGGGGAGTGTCTTGTATCTAACAACCGGAAAGGTGACAACACTGAATGTCTAAGAATTTCATAAAAGCCACTGCAGCCTCTTCCTCGCTCTATATCTCATTTATCACTCAATCTAAACCAGAAAAAAAAAAAAAATCCTATTGCCACTAAGTTGATTTCTACTCAAAGTGACCCCCCCATTGGGTTTTCAAGGCTGTAAATCTTTACAGAAGTAGATTGCCTCATCTTCCTCTCAAGGAGGAGCCGGGGGATTTGAACCACCAACTTTCTGGTTAGCAGCCAACTGCCTTATCCACTACACCAACAAGAGTTCCTAGGAGAAACCAACTGTCATTTCCTGGCAATATTTAAGCATCCTCATGGAAAGGTCCAGTCAAGTTTTTAGACAACTACAACTCTGGCTGTCAGATTTAGTCTGTAATGTCATGAGACAGCCCAAGCCAGAACCACTCAGCTAAGCTCTTCCACAATTCCTGACCTCTAGAAACTTTGAGAGAGTGATGATTGTTTTTAGCAGTGAGATTTGGAAGTAATTTGTTAAGCAGCAATAGGTAACTAATAGAATACAAAATACTGGCAAAGGGGATAGTGTAAATTGGGGGAAGCTTTGAAACAAGTTTATACCATTTAACACTAAAAATATAAAATTTATTTTTAGAAAATACTTAAAATGTAAAAACACATTTATGTATCAAGGCATTCATTACAGTTTAACTTACAGTAATGCCAAATTAGCAACAATCTAACTGCCCCAAAATAAGGAAATAAAGAGGATTCATACACATGAACAGTTTTAAAGTTGTTAAAAATTAGGACTGATTATTCAATAAAGCAGATTTCCACATTATGAAGTAATGTGCAAAAGAATGAAAAATTATTAGCAACACACTAAGTTAATTTTTAAAACATGCATAAATAAAAAAATAACCAGACCATAAATCAGTATGTTCATTATTTTCTCATCTTTCTACCTCTTTTAATTTTTAATAATTTTTTTTTAAATGAAAAGATAAAGTTATCTCATAAGATACAAAAAGTGTATTTTAATCAAGTAATACTAATAATGAGAGTACATTAGTATTACACTGAGTTCTTCACAAAATACCAGAGAAAAATCTGTTTTAAAACAAAATAATAAGTGAGGGAACACTGCAAAAAAAAAAAAAAAAGCATTGACTCATGTCACTTTAGTTTTGTGTATTTTTCACTGTGCATAAATTTCAATAAAATATATTTTTTAAAAAAAGGCTTCCTGACCAAAAAATTAAATAAAATAATAATGATTATTTTTGTGAGTGACAGTTGAGATGTACTTACCCAAAAGAAAATTTTCTGGCTTCCAAATAGATCTGGTTGACCAGTTCTCGAGTTGGTGCTACAATAATACACTCTGGTTCCTGCAGCTCTTTGAAACGACTGGCAGTTATTCCATCACGCATCATATGAGCCAAAATCGGCAAGAGGAAAGCTGCCTAGAGGTTAAATTGCGTAATTTACTCATATTTACAATATGCTACCTTTCCACCTATGGAAAAATATCCCTCTCACCCTTCTGGCCTTTGGATTCTTTTCCTATCTTGCTGGTAAATTTAAGATGTCAAAAGAGAACTTTTATTTCAATGAGTTTTCAGCATTTAAATGTTTATGTTCCTATTATACAATATTAAAAGTTTTATAAATTTAATCTACTTTATAAAAGTAGGTTTTAGTTCTTTTTTAAAATAACAGTCATGGGTTTGAGATAGGTCAACAAAATAAATTTATTTATAGAGGAGAATATAGATATAATTTGAAGTAAATCACTGTATCTAGCAATTATTCTAAATGACTTCTTTTTGGGTAGTAATAAAATTATCAGTCAGAATACACAAATAAAGTGGTCCACAAGGAGAGCAAAAACTGAGATATTATTCATTGAGATGACTAAACAGATCACTCTTATTGAAGTTATATTTTGCAAGAGAAATTTTGTGCTACAGTTTCTCCTCACTTAGCAAATATGACACTGAGATCTACCTCTAAAACCATATTTAAAATCACTAAGCAGCAACTGTGTTAGTCAACTTGCCTACTTTACTTCAACTCCATCATGAATGGTGATTAAAGATGCATATAGATATACGTCTATTAACATCCATGTTATGTTCTGTGAAACAGAATGTCACATAATTGGGATGTTATGTAAGCATCATATTATATACGGGCAGTCCCACACAATTCAGTTAAATCCCTATAAAGCCTGTTATATTAAAACCTTTTGGAAGCCCACTAGAGAAAGCCCAAGAGCTGTATCCAATGGATACAGGAGGTTGGGCTTCCCAGAAGTATAGCTATGCCGGATAGGGGCTGCACTGGCAGCCCCATCAGGACCTTGTGCACATCCAGGCATGAGGAAAAGGGGAGTTACTTATGGGGGAGGGGCATGTAGAGGCAGCCTCAGGAACCAGATATGTGAGTGCCAGAAGAGTAACTGGTGGTGGTGCAACTGGCTGCGTTGCTGCCACCCTATTGGTGCAGCAGCTGTTGCCGCCTCCTGGAGCCAGAAGCTTGCAAGCGCCCCTAGCATGAACAGAGGAGCCTGCACCCAAAAAGAAAGGCTATATGGCTGCTGGCAGGTGAACGAAGCCAGGAAGAGGGAAAGGAGGAGGTGCTGCAGAATTAGATGTGCCCTTGAGTGTCACTGCTTGTTCACTCTGGAGGTTTCAAGTCTCTAACATCATTGCTGTAGTTGTCATGTGCCATCAAGTCGGACCCAACTCATAGCGACCCCTCCTTGGGTTTCCGAACCAGTATCACTATGGAAGTAGATTGCCCAACCTTCCTTCCGAGGAGTGGCTGGTGGGTTTGAACCGTCAGCCTTCTGGTTAGCAGTCAAGTGCCTCAGGCATCAAGCTACCAGAGCGTCTCTAAAATCATTAGGTGGAAATAATAAAAAAGAGCGACTTTCCCTTAAAAAAAAAAAAACCTGAGGTTACTTCATACAACAGGCCAGGTATAAAGACATATAGCTATTTCTCATTCTTTATCTTTTGACTCCAAATGTGTATCAGTTGTATCACAGAAAATATATTCTCCCTCTCTCAATGCTTTACAACTTCTCATACTCTATGAAGTGCAATACTACCCACCCTAGAAATATTTCAAAATCTTTTCTTCAGAAGTAAACAAAACTCAGTAAAATCAGAAGAGTGTTAATATTTATGACAGTTCACTGAAGCCTTCCACAAACCTATCTAACAAAAGAGATTCAAGCTATTTGCTGCTGTTAAGTGCTGTCCAGTTGGCTCTGACTCACAGTGATCCTGTGCAGAATAGAATGAAACAGTGCTCAGTCCTGCACCATCCTCACAATCTTTGCTATGCTGGAGCCCATCACTGTAGGCACTGTGTCAACATAGCTCATTGAGGGTCTTCTTTTTTTTCAAGCTATTTAAGAATCAAATTTCAAAAAACTGTAGTTTGAATACGGGGAGAGAATACATGTAGGAAAATGACTTACAGTCTTTCCTGATCCTGTCTGAGCACAAGCCATCAAATCTCGTCCTGCTAGTATAATAGGAATACTGTATTTTTGTACTGGCGTAAGCTTTGTATAACCGGCTTTAGCAATGTTGTTATTCAGTGTCTGACAGAGATTAGCTTCTTCAAAAGTCTAAAAAAGAGAAAAGGGGGTTAGGAGCAGTGACTAAATTGTATACATATATGAAAATCATTGCATAAACATATTCCATTTAACTAGTTTCATGTTTTCATTAATTCCACTTTGTACCTTAAAGTTACTTTTGCCAACATGCTCCCATTCAAAATTAAATATCCAGAGCCCATATATGATTACTTGACAGAATTAAAGAATATTCCCCACAAACAATAATTTCAAAACATTTTTTCTACATCCATAATACCTGTGAGATAGGAGTAACTCTGATAAGTAACAGTGGCTTATTATGGGTACGGTTATCAGTAGAAGACAGAGGACTTCCCCTTCCCCCTTGTAAAATCATTTCCCTGTTGTTGTTGTTGTTGTTGTTATGTGCCCTCGAGTCGGACCCGACTTATAGTGACCCCTCCTTGGGCTTCCGAGGCAGTATCACTACAGAAGTAGATTGCCCCATTTTCCTTCCAAGGAGTGGCCGGTGGGTTTGAACCACCAGCCTTCTGGTTAGCAGTCAAGTGCCTTAGGCACTACACCACCAGAGCTCCTAAATTTATGACCTAAGATATTAAATTACTAATGATGAAATATTTGTGCTCTTTAATGGCAGCTAGAATAAATGTACCATAAATTTAAAAAAACAATTTGCTAAACAGTCAATAACAGAAAAAATTTTTAAACTGACCAGAATTGCCGGTGGTGCATCATGTCCAGATACTTCCACAAGAATTGTATCATATTTGTCAAAGTTTATGCCTGTCTGATAATGTGCAAAGATGGAGTCCTCATCCTCTGGTGGAGGAGGTGGTATGTAAGTCACTTTTGGTCCTTAGAATTTAAACCAAAAAGAGAATTTACATTATAAAGAGTAAAAAGAAAATAGAAAGACAAAATCAAATTTGAAACTTTGTAACTTTCCACTGCTTACTACTTAGGTTTTCACTGCTAAAATAAAAAACAGGTACCTATCCATTTAAATATTTTGCATTTTTATTAAAATACAATGTACATTCATGTGGATTACACAAACATTAATCTACCTTGAGTGTCACCACTTTCTTCTTCAGCTTCCGATTTTGAAGACTCTTAAAGGAGATCAAACAAAATTAAAAAAAAAAAAAAGGATAAATATTTTTATAATCCAAGGGTAAAAGAACTCTCACTATAAAATTCAAGTATTTTATCAAAAGTATAACTTACTCTTTCCAGAACCTGTTATTACTTCTTCATTTAAACCTTTATAACCACCTATTAAAGAAATGTTCAGTGACAATCAGTCTAGATACAAGGTTGTGCATGTTTGTTTTCATTATGTATTATTAAAGAAGACAAGTTCTAAAGTCCCTTCTTTCAAATAATACTTGACATAGTTAAGACAAATAGATTCATTTTAAGTTTCCCTAGCACTCACAGGAGTCCATGGGTGGTACACTTAATGCCCTCCTTGTTAACTCAAAAACATCTCAGAAAACAGACCTGGTTATCTACTTCTGAAAAATCAGCCACTGAAAACCCTACAGAGTACAGTTCTCCCATGACATAAGTGAGGTCACCAAGAGTTGGCACCAACTCAATAGCAAGTGGTGACTAGTGGTATTCATCATAATGCTGATTTTATAGAGCTAAGACTATTATATATTACTACTGTTTGTTTAAGCTATTTTGCTTTTTCCTAATAAGCAAAAGAATGTATTTTCTAAAAGAAACTAAAAAATCTACTTATGTTGGGAGTCCCCAAGACAATCCCCAGCTTCAGTGATTCACTAGAAAGAATGACAGGTATCATGGCTATGATTTATAACAATAAGAGGCTAGGGAACAAAATCAACAAAGGTAAAAGGCATGTGGGGTGAAATCCAGAGGAAATTAGGCACAAGAACATCTGTAGGATGTAATTCCTATTATGGAATTGATAGACTGAAGATTATCAAATAACTCTCCAAAACAGGCTGTACAAATTTCTATTCCTCATCAGGTATAAAATCAGTAACAGTTACCTTTAACTTCAAATATTAAATTTAGATTACAATCATCTTAATCACTTGTAAGTAAACCAACTAAGAACTCACCTCGCCCACTTCCATTGCCACTTCTGCTTTGGTAAGTGTCACCATTACCTGTAAGGCATTGATTTGCAGAATACAAAGATCCTCCTTGAGAACAAAAACCGCACCACTATTTCTATTCACTCACTGAGTAATTACATTATTAAGGTCTCTCAGCCTATCCATCTCTCAATTTTAGATTTAATTTAAACATTTCCCCCCTCACTTGTTCATTTTTCAAGAACAATGTGTTCTCATTTTTTTTCCATTTTCTTCTCAAATCTCACTAATCTCTGTCCCCTAACTTAGACTCCTTTCTTTGAAACTTAGTTTATCCTTCCTCTCATTAAAAAGGTAATTCACATCTTAAATTAACAGGTTGACAACAGAGAAGCAATAATTTACAGTGTACAAGTTTTATAAGCACAGCAAAATTTTCTACTTTTACCTAAAGATCTAAAACAGAGAAAATGATTTAAGGACACTTACTGTACTTAAATATAAGTTTACTAATCCTAGAGCTAAAAGTATATGTCAACAATTAATATTTAGTAATAAATCTATTTCTCACCTGTGCCACTTAATGTTGATCTTTTAGAAGCAAAAGGGCCACCAGTATACTGTGTTCCTTCATCTTGTTCAAAATTGTTACCTAGATTTCAATAATAAAATTAGATTATGTTGCTTTAAAAAGTTTTAAAATCACACAACAACAAGAAAACACCAAGTTATGTTGCCAGAATTAAATATGTGAGAAAAAATAAAATGTGGGGTTTATATTTAACAAGAATAACAATGAATATTTTTCTAAGTGTCGCAGAATTTTTTTCAGTTACAAATTACTTCTTCAACATTTTTATTCTAATTTATTTTACGAAATTTATTTTGTAAAAGTAATCAGGGCCAATGCTATGCCAAAATATTATACACACAAAGGTTAAATCACCTCCAAAAAGGGTAACTATTACTGTCCTAGTAACTTCATACTGCATCATCTTACTGTTTATTCTCCAAAACAGTACCCGTACCCCTTGGCTCCAAATGCTAACAAATCAAGCTTTACCAGTCCTACATAGCAACCCTTCAGATCCTTACACTTTTTTAAACTGAAAACATTCACTAATCTGATACACATCTACTAAACATTAATATAAATTTGTTTTTAACTTCTAAAACCACTAATCTGTTAAGAGATGTAAGATATAGGCATTCCAACACTGACCTCTGAAGGCAGTACCTTAGCTCCAAGGACTGATGACTGGAGGAAATTAAAGTAGAAAGCCACATTGGTGGAAGATGGTATTTTGGGGTGTAAAGTCATCTATTTATGAGGTCAGCCATCATTATCAAGGTTCTAAAACTCTTAATACTATGTAACATTAAAGAACTAAGTCACACAAACTTCTAACAAAAATTCATATATTCTATCTTAACCGATAGCTAATTATGTACATATCTAAAAATAACAGTATCTACAAAATGGGTAATTAATGAATGCCAAGCACTGTGCTAAGCTATTCTAATGTAATCTTTGGTATTAGATTTTATCATTTCCTTAACAAATGAGGCACACAATCTGCAAGCCACTACTAACTTGGACTTCCTGGACCAAATCCTCCATGGCAACCTCGGAAACTACCTCTCCCACCTCTTCTGGATGAGCTTGAAGCTTCTGAATCATTTCCACCCTGATATCCTGTAACATTAAAACACACACAAGAACAAAACAAAACAACAAAGAAATCTTGGGGACATGGTGGCCAAATTCAAGCCTTGAGTAATCCAGTAACTTTAAATAAATATTTTAAGGTATTAACTATTTATTGAAAAACAAATAAAAAAATGCCATATTTAACCCACCAATGAACCATTTTAGTAATATAAGGAAGACAACAATTATGTAAAAAACTCATTGCTTGTTTAGGGAATGAAAAATGATTAAAAGAAAAAAGTGTCACTTGAATAAAACGCTGAACATTTCTACAACTGCACTATTATTTCTACTATCCATAGAAGAATAAATCCTAGACTTACATTTGTTTTCTATAGAAAACAGTAAACATCATATTCAAAACACAGACGTTTAGGTATATATAAAGTTTGAAACTTCCTCTTAAACAGAGAGTAGCTAGAACAAATGGAAGAAATGATGAAATATGAGGTGAAAAAAACATTTCAAAGAGGACTCAAGAAGACAAAGTAATAAAATGTGCAAAGACCTGGAGTTAGAAAACCAAAAGGGAAGAATAGCTCAGCATTTCTCAGACAGAAAGAGCAAATAATCCAAGAAGCTGGACTGTATGAAGAAGAACATGGCATCAGGATTGGAGGAAAAATCATTAACAACCTGCGATATGCTGACGACACAACTTTACTTGCTGAAAGTGAGGATGACTTGAAGCCCTTACTGATGAAGGTTGAAGAATACAGTCTGCAGTGTGGATTATGTCTCAATATAAAGAAAACAAAAATCCTCAGAACTGGACCAATAAGCAGCATCACAATAAATGGAGAAAAGACTGAAGCTGTCAAAGACTTCACATTGCTTGGATCTATAATCGACACCAACGGAAGCAGCAGTCAGGACATTAGACGATGTACAGCACTGAGCAAGTCGACTGCAAGGGACCTCCTTCAAGTGCTGAAGAGCAAAAATGTCTTCTTGAGGACTAAGGTGCGCCTGACATGAGCCATAGCATTTTCAATCGCCTCGTATGCATGTGAAAGCTGTACAATGAACAAGGAAGACCAAAGAAGAGTCAATGCTTTTGAGCTGTGGTGTCAGCAAAGAATGCTGAAAGTACCATGGACTGCTAAAAGAACTAACTAATCTGTCCTGGAGGAAGTGCAGCCAGAACGCCCCTTGGAGATGAGAATGGCCAAACTTTGTCTCACATACTTTGGTCATGTTGTCAGAAGGGACCATTCGCTGGAGAAGGATGTCATGTTTGGTAAGATGGAGGGTCAATGAAAGAGTGGGAGCCCCTCAATGAGATGGACTGACACAGTGGCAGAAGTGATGGGCTTGAGTACAGCAAGGATGGTGGAGCTGGCGCAGGACCAGATGGTGTTTCATTCTGCTGTACATAGAGCCGGTATGAGTCAGAGATGATTCAATGGCACCTAATAACAACCACATGCATGTGAAAGCTGGAAAATGAGTAAGTAAGACCAAAGAAGAGTTGATGTTTTTGAATTGTGGTGCTGGGAAAGAATACTGAAAATACCATGGAATGCCAAAAAGAAGGGATAAATTTGTCCTGGAGGAAGTACAGCTGGAATGCTCCTTACAAACAAGAATGATAACCAGACTTCGTCTTCCCTACTTTGGCTATGTCGTCAGAAGGGACTAATAGCTGGAAAATACATCATGCTCTGTAAAGGAGAGGGTCAGAGAAAAAGGGAAAGATGCTCCATGAGATGGATTGATACGATGGCTGCAACAACGGGTCAAGCACAGCAAGGATTGTGAGGATGGTGCAGAACTGGGCAGTTTTTCATTCTGTTGTACATAGAGTCCACCTTACGTCAGAATCGACTCAATGGCAGTGAGTTTGGTTTGGTTTGGAACAGAAAAAGCCTAAGAGCTCTGGTGGTGTCATGGTTAAAAGCATTCAGTTGACAACCAGGTCAGTGGTTCAAACCTACCAGCTACTCCACAGGATAAAGCTGAGGCAGTCTGCTTCCATAACGATTTACAACCTTGGAAATTGTATGGGGCAATTCTACTGTGTCCTGTAGGGTAGGTATGAGTCAGAATCAACCCGATGGGCTTGGGATGGGGAACAGTAAAAGCCTAAATTGCTTTTAAGAAATTGTTCATAGAATTATCAACCTCAAAGGTAATTCTGCTTAGGGATCAGAACTATAGACAAAGTCTCTACTGTCTTAGAGAATATATATGGCACAATCAACAGAATACTGCTAGAAATGTGGATGTTAAATGTGTTTTTAACCCAAAAACCGAACTCACTGCTGTCAAGTCAGATCCGACTCATAGCAACCCCACCTTCGGTTTTCGAGGCAGTATCACTATGGAAGTAGATTGCCCAACCTTCCTTCTGAGGTGGTGAGGCTTAAAAAAAATAACAACAAATAATTAGACAAGGAAGGAGGGGCAATGCTTTTTTATGCAATGGCAAAGAATTTGTCTGAATTATATTTAAATGTGGAAGGTAGAACCTGTGATCAACTTGAATTTCTGGCTGAGAAGACTTCTAAGCAGCATCTTAAGGGGCTGTGTGGTTTCTCTTTGCCACTTATAGTAAATTGAGAAGAAGGAGATGGACATTAAGTATGAACTGTGCAAATGAAAACAAAATTTGAAGATCTGGAAAATTCTGTTATAAAAACTAAAGACACATGTCCCAGAATGTTCACCAAGGGTGTGGCTACACAAGAAGATTAAGTCTGTGACTGATGGATCTAACCAACTATCACAGCTGAAAACCCATCAGCTTAGATGGAAGGGGACAGATAAAGATTGAAAGGAGAGAAGTTGACTGCCTCTAGAAATTCTATGTCAGGAAAACGGCCAAAGGAGCTATATTTTTTGTTGTCCTCCAAAAAAAAAGAAAAAGGAGCTCTGGTGGTATAGTGGTTAAGGCATATGACTGCTAACCAAAAGATTGGTAGTTCCACCTCACCAGTTGCTCTGTGGAAAAGACGAGGCAGTGTGCTTCCATAAAGACTTACAGCCTTGGAAATCCAATGGAGGTCACTATGAGTGAAATTGAAAAGAAAACCTTCCCTGGAGCAGTTCACAGGTCAGCAGAACTGTTGGAAGCAGGGCCCTCAGTTTCAAAAGTGTGGGGCCACAGTCTCCTGGATCTCAAAGGGTAGGGCCACCACCTGCTGGGTTTCAAAGAGTTTGATCTTCTCCAACTGGTTCCAAAGTGTGGGCTGCCAGTAAGGTGTGCCAATAAGGATGTGACTGCCAACCAACACTGAGACTGTAATGCTGTCATCCCAAGGGGCAGAAGAACAGGGCCAGTCAGGGATGAGGGGTACAGTCACCTTAGGTTGAAAGAGCTAAGGTGCCATCTCAGAGGGCCTGGGAGGCAGATCTGAAGACCATGGCTGACAGGCTCCATCCATAATCCAAGAAGGTGTGGCCAACACCCAGAGTTTGGAGGATGGGGCCATTGCCTAGATAGCCTGAGAGAGGATTATTTCCAAATCTTGATAGCTAATGTAATTTGTTCTCCTGGGTGATGGAACTGTTTGGTACCCATTACCCTTTCATTCCCTGCAATTTCGCTCATTTGTAATAGAAATGTTTATCTTATGCCTGTTCCATCATTCTTCTTTGGAAACAAGTAACTTGTAGTCCAGATTTCACAGGTTCACAAATGAAGAGGAATTTTGCACCAGGACGGAATATGCCTAAAGTCTCACTTATATTTGATTTAGATAACTCAGAAGATGAGATTGTGAATTTGGAGTTAAAGACTTTTGGGATGCTGGGATGGGGTGAACGTGGTTTGCAAGTGGCAAAGACATGAAATTTTGTGGGCTAAAGGGTAGAATGCTATGGATTGAACTGTGTCTTCCAAAATTATGTGTTGTAAATCCCTATGCCTACGGTTCTAATCCCATTTGGGAATAAATTGTCTTTGTTATGTTAATAAGACAGGATTAGTGTAGGGTACATCTTAAAATCAATCTCTTTTGAGATATAAAAGAGGTTAAAAACAAGCTAGCAAGGAGACAAAGGGGAAGAGAGATGCCAGGAGCAGAAGCTCAGAACAAACAAGGAACCTTCCTTCAGAGGTGTCAAAAAAGAGAAAGCCTTTCCCTAGAGCCAACCACTCTGAATTTGGACTTCCAACCTCATAAACTGTGAGCAAATAAATCTGTTTGTTAAAGGCATCCACTTGTGGTATTTCTGTTATAGTAGCACTAAATAACTAAGCCAGACACACACTTACATTTATTGACTAGCATTACTGTGCAAATATCTATCCTCTAATTTATACATCTACAGAGAATGACAATTAAGGCTACCTGGAAAAATGTCTATGCCCCTTCTAATCATCCCACACTAGTCAATAATCCAGGAACAAGAAAACAGATCTTCAACTGGCATTTGACTGGTCATTTTAATATAAATTAGGCTGATTTAGTTACAGAAAATATAATAGGAAGAAATTCACTCTTCTGTAGAAAACAACCAAACATGTGAAAATATGGGCATTATTTTAGAAACACTGTCAATTTGTTTTTTAAGAGTAACGATAAAAAGTCTGTTAAAAGTCTGTATTTTTCTTAGCAAATTTCCCCCCATGTCATAATAGAACTCAATTCAGAAACAGACATCCCTCATTTATCATCAAATTCCTCCCCTCTCATAGCCCTAATTAGGCTATACTGAAATCCACAGCATGTCTCAGTTTCACTAAGCTGCCACAGTGTTGTCCCCAACTCACGGCAACATGATGACTCAACACTGGCAGATGACTCAACACTGCCTGACCCTGCTTCACCACCATCCACAGTTGTGAATCAGACCATTATGTTTCACAGGGTTTTCATTGGCTGAGTTTTGGAAGATCACCAGGCCTTTCTTCCTAGTCTACCTTAGTCTGGAAGTTCCACTGAAACTGTTTATAGTGGTTGCACATGAAGTGCACTAGCTGAGACGTAAACTTGGGTACCACATGAACAATGAATAAGAAAAACTGAAGAAGAATTGATGCATTTAAATTATGGTGTTGGCGGAAAACACTGAATATACCATGATTTCCAGAAGAAATACAAATGTGTCTGGGAAGAGGACTAGCCAGAGTGTTCCTTAGAAGCAAGGATGGTGATTTCATCTCATATTCTTTGGACATGTTATCAGGAGGAGCCAGTCCCTGGAGGACATCATGCTTGGTAAAACAGAAGGTCAGAGAAAAAGAAGAATACCTCAATGAAATGACTGACACAGTGGCTGCAACAACAGGCTCAAATCAACAACTGTAAGGATGGCACAGGATAAGATAGTGTTTCTTTCTGTTGTTGCTGTGTGTTGGAACCAACTCAATGGCACCTAACAACAATAATCACATGGAAGGCAAATTCTACCACTAAACCACCAATATTCCCACTTCACTAAAAGGGGCTTGCTATTTCAGCGAGCAGCCCATCTAATAGGTAAGGTAAGAAGATGCCCCCAAGTTGCAGCAAAAAAAATAAAAAAATTAGCACATTCTAGAGATCTTTAGAAAATATAAAAGATCCAGTATACATTAAAAAGTAGGAGGGGCACCTACTGAATATTCACTCAAATATTAATAGCAGAAAACATACTGCCAAAGTGTTGTTCTTCAAAGGTTCTCACCACCAGAAATTTTCTTTTGTCTCTTCTAAAATCAATTTTATCATTTATTATCTGTCTTAAACACATTCAAAATACATTCTAAAACATATGGACCTTACCGCCTCTTCTGGAAAACCCTCTGTCCCGTGCTTGATTATCTTCACTGTCATTAGACTCTTGAATAAAAACATCACATGTGAACAGCATCTAAATAACTAACTTTAAAGATATAATATCTAAAGAGTAACACATGCACAAGATAAATAAGGATGTAAGATATACGCATAAGTATAAACGCTTTTAAGTTTTGAAGTAATTTTCACAACAGATAAAGACATTATTCAAAGTCAATTCCCTATACAAATCTTCTAATGTATCTAAACATTGAATGCTAAATATAAAATTGATAAAGTGCTATATGCCAAGTATTAAATTAGGTAACACAAGCCAAAATATAAGAGTTTCATAAATGTCATTTTAACTGAAAATGGTTTCAGGAATATCTAAACTACTAACTAAACCAACAGTTCTCAAATATGACCATTAGGAACACATGGCCTGTTTTATTTATAATGTCATATATTTTTCTGTTATTTAACTTTCCTAATAAACCTGAGACATTGAAGTTTTCTTAAAAATATTCAAACTTTTCCCTACTTACTCAAAGAATTTGGGAGACATGCTGGCTTTTCTATTTTCACTGGTAACTAGTAACATTACCAGAGTTCTTTAATAGTGGTAACAAAGGTCCCTACAATGAAAGCTACCTAACAATTATCTAGGAGCTCTGGTAGCATAGTGGCTAAAGCACTTGACTGCTAACCAGAAGGCTGGCGGTTCAAACCCACCAGCCACTCCTCGGAAGGAAGGTTGGGCAATCCTACTTCCCTAGTGATACTGCCTCGGAAACCCAAGGAGGGGTCGCTATGAGTCGGGGCCGACTCGACGGCACATAACAACAACAACAACAACAATTATCTAGAATGGGTTAAAGACAAATTCTGGTTCATTCCAGTTAGACACCTGCTGAGAATCTACATTTCAACAAAAGCCCCAAGTATGTGGAATAACCACCTGGGGATCTTGTTAAAATGGACATTCTGATTCAATGTATCTGGGTTGCAAATGAAGTCTCAGCAAGGAATTGAAACAGTCTGAAGCCTTGTCTAAAAGTATAAAGTAAAAGTAAGGGATGAATAAAATTTTCAATAACTTCAAAAGTTAATCTATGTTATTAATGTACCTCTTAGTAATAATTTTAAGCTTTCCAGAAGATTTTAACAAAGTCATGTTTGAGAAATACACAGATGGTTTCAAGGGAATTTTTGTACACTTTATAGGATTTACTATCTGAGAACTTAAAATCACAGTGATTAAATAAAAAATCAATTGATTAAATAAACAATTTAGAGGCTGTCAGTTAAATACTGCCTATGTAGTGGCTAAGGCACCTGACTGCTAACCAGAAGGCTGGCGGTTGAAACCCACCAGCCACTCCTCGGAAGGAAGATGGGGCAATCTACTTCCGTAGTGATACTGCCTCAGAAACCCAAGGAGGGGTCGCTATGAGTCGGGGCCGACTTGACAGCAAGCAACAACAACAACATGTAAAAGTAGTAATCTACTTAACATTTAATATTGTTTTACAAATAAGCGTTCAAGAGATCTTGCTGCAAGCTCCTATGTGAACTATAGTCAGGAAACAACAGCCTTGAAGAACCATCTAAATCATGATAATTTTCCAGAATTAGGATTCAGTGTTACAAGACAGCTGAGCAGAAAACAGTATTTTGGAAAAAAAAAAAAAGGTTGGCCCTGGAAAAATGTTACCAAAGGCAATCTCCATGTTACAAAAGAAACCTGTTCCTAAGTTTATCTTTAAGTCAACTGTGTAGGTAAGTCAGAACAAGTACATATGGTTCTTATTTAGCTTTACTTTAGTATAAGGAAGGACCTCTGGTAACACAGTAGTTAATGCATTCCACTGTTAACCAAAAGGTTGGTGGTTCAAACCCACCAGCTGCTCTGTGGGAAAAAGATGGAAGAAGGCTGCTTCTGTAAAGATTAAAAAAAAAAAAAAACCTCAAAACCAAACTCACTGCCATCAAGTCAATTCCAACTCATAGCGACCCCCCTTTAGGTTTCTGAGGCAGTAAATCTTCACAGAAATAGACTGCCCAGTCTTCCTTCCACAGAGTGGCTGGTGGGTTTGAACAGCCAACCTACTGGTTACCCATCAAATGTCTTAGGTACACCACCACCAAACCATCTGGGCAGTTACACCCTGTGCTACAGGATCACTATGAGTTGGATTTGACTCTACAGCAGTGAGTTTGGTTGAATTTGGGTTCAATGCACGAGGAGTACTGGTGGCACAGTGGTTAAAGTGCTTGGCTGCTAACCAAAAGATTGGTGGTTTGAAACCACCAGCTGTTTCTGTAAAGATTTACAGCCTTGGAAACCCTGTTGGGCAGTTCTACTCTGACTTATACAATCATTATGCATGGGACTCAACTTGAAGGCAATGGATTTGGCTTGGTTTAATAAAAGGAAAGGATTGAAATCTTTTCAATGATTTAAAAGCTGCATAGACAGCAAATGAAGGTGACTGTGATGAAGAATTTGTTGCAAGGGCGGGCTGGTTCAATTGTTTCACAGTGAAGACAAATTGACATAAACATAAAAGACTTTGAGCTGAAATAGTGCTGCCCTGCTCAAAGATGGTGGCACCCCACTTAAAAGACAGCAGCCAAGCACACCACTTTGAATTTGTGTGTGGCTCCCCACAGTCCAGCCAATAATACAATTTCATGTATCAGGCTTGTAAAACAGCTTACTACACCTCTTCTGAGTCAAAGTCATTTAAGGGCTTTGACCATTATCTTTCCCATTCCAGTTACCATGAGAAATCACTCAAATTGCAAAAATTCAGTTGTTCCTATTTTCACTTCATCAGACATGACAGAACAGATTCAAATCCTACTTGCTTAAAGGGCAGGTCCATAAATTAGACATTTGTAATCCAGGGACTGCCTGTAGATATAGCAGTTGTCCAGGGACACCTTAATCCTCAAGGTAACATTTTGCTTTTTAATGTTTTAAAAAGGTCTTTTGCAACTCATCTACCCAATTCAATATGTGTCTATTCCAGTCTTCTTATATAAGGTCATATATTTGTCTTTTTGTGATTCTTCAAGATCCATCCATGTTGCAGCATTTGACTAAGGAAATAAGTTTCTTTTAGCACAGGAAAAAAATTAGTCCATGAATAAGGATGAAAAAAGAAGTCAGGCCAGATCAAGAGCCTTAATTTCCAAGTTAATATAGATTTGAAGATTATCTGTCAGGACATAATAGTATCCTCATGGTGATTCTGATTTACATCTCTCTCATGGCTAATGATGCTGATCATGTTTTCATGTGTTTGGTGGCCATTTTAATGTTCTTTTTGGTAAAATAGCTATTCAACTCCTTTGCCTATTTTTTTTAATTGGGGTTTCTGTCTTTTTGTTAAGTTCTCGAAGTTATACATAAATTTTGGATATTATATTCTTATTAGATATGTGATTTCAGAAAATATTCTACTAGTTGGTAGTTTGCCTTTTCTCCATTTTAGTAAAGTCTTTTGAGGAACAAAAGTCTTTAATTTTTGTGATGTCTCATGTATTTATTTCCACTATCTGTATATTAGTTTATCATATAAACTAATGTGGTGGGGTGGGTATTTCAAATACCAGCAAAGTGACTCACAGTGGACAGGTTTCAGCAGAGCTTCCAGACTAAGATACAGCAGGAAGTAGCAAAGGGCCTTCCACTTCTGAAAAAAAACTGGCTACTGAAAACCTTATGAATAGCAGTGAAACACTGTCTGATATAGTACCAGAAGATGGGTCTCTCAGGTTGGAAGGCACTCAAAATACAACTCTGAAGAGCTGCCACCTCATAGTAGAGTTGACCTTAATGACATAGGTGGAGTAAGGCTTCTGCGACCTGCATTTGCTTATGAGGCACGACTCAAAATGGGGAAAAACAGGCATAAGCATTAAGAATTGGAATGTGGAATATACAAAGTATGAATCTAGGAAAACTGAAAGTTGTCAAAAATGAAATGGAATGGATAAAGATCAATATCCTAGGCATTAGTGAGCTGAAAGGGACTACTGCTAGCCATTTAAAATCAATCATATGGTCTCCTATTCTGTTGTTATGTGCCGTCGAATCGGACCTGACTTATAGCGACCCCTCCTTGGGTTTCCGAGGTGGTATCACTACGGAAGTAGAGTGTCCAACCTTCCGAGGAGTGGCTAGTGGTTTGAACTGCCAGCCTTCTGGTTAGCAGTCAAGTGCCTTAGGCACTATGCTACCAGAGCTCCTGGTCTCCTATTCTAGGAATAACAAATTGAAGAGAAATGACATCACATTCATTGTCATAAACATTTCAAGATCTATCCTGAAGTACAATGCTGTCAGTGATAATACCCACAAGCCAATAAGGAAGAGCAGTGAATACTACTATTACTCAAATTTATACACCAACCATTAAAGCCAAAGATGAAGAAATTGAGTATTTACCAACTTCTGCTGTCTGAAATTGACCAAACATGCAATCAAGATGTACGGATGATTACTAGTGATTGGAATGCAAAAGTTGGAAATAAAGAATCATCATCTGTAGTTGAAAAATATGGCTTGGGTGATGGAAATTATGCCAGAGGTCACATGATAGAATTTTCACAATACCAATGACTTATTCACTGCAAATACCCTTTTTCAACAGCATTTCAGCATTTCAGCAGCTATACATATAGACCTCACCAGACAGAATACACAGGAATCAAATACATCTGTGAAACAGACAATAGAGAAGTTCATTATCAACAGTCAAAACAAGGCCAGGAGCTGACTGTGGAACAGACAAACAATTGCTCATACACAAATTCAAGGTGAAGCTGAAGAAAATTAGAACAAATCCACAAGAGTCAATATATAACCTCGATTATATCCCACCTGAATTTAGAGAGGGTCTGAAGACCATGTTTGATGCACTGAATACCAATGACCCAAGATCAGAGGAGCTGTGGGATGACATCAAGAACATCATACATGAATAAAGCAAAAGGTCATCTGAAAGAAAGGAAAGGAGGAAAAAACCAAAATGGATATCAGAGGATACTCTGAAACTTGTTCCTGATCACAGAATAGCTAAAGCAAATGGACAAAATGACAAAATACAAGAGCTGAACAGAAGATTTCAAAAGGAAGCTCAAGAGCACAAAGTATTATAATGAAATGTACAAAGACCTGGACTTGGAAAATCAAAAATGAAGAACATGCTCAGCATTTCTCAAGTTGAAATAACTGAAGAAGAAACCCAAGCCTTGAATTACAATACTAACAGACTCTATAAGCAAAATACTGAATGATGTAAAAAGCATCCCAAGAAGATGGAGGAAATACACAGTCACTGTACCATAAAGAACTGGTCAACATTCAACCATTTCAAGAGGAAGCATATAATTAAGAACTGAAGGTACTAAAGGAAGACATCCAAGCTTCACTGAAGGTAGTTGCCAAAAACAAACTTCCAGGAAGTTACAGAATACCCACTGAGATGTTTCAATGGTGATGCAGCACTGAAGGTGCTTACTCATTTATGCCAAGAGGTTTGGAAGACAGCTACCCAGCCAACTGACTGGAAGAGATCCACACCTGCGCCCATTCCAAAAAGAGGTGATCCAATAGAATGTGGAAATAATCAAACAAGATCATTACTATTACACACAAGTAAAATTTTGCTGAAGATAATTCAAAAACGATTGCAGCAGTATATTGATGGGAATTGTAAGAAATTTAAGCTGGATACAAAAGAGGATGTGGAACAAGGGCTATCATTGTTGATATCAGATGGATTCTGGCTTAAATAAAAGAGTATCAAAAAAACGTTTACCTGTATTTTATTGCCAGTGCCAAGGTATTCATCTGAGTAGATTGTAATAAATTAGGTAACACTGTGAAGAATAAGAATTTCAGAACACTTAATTGTGCTCATGAGGAACCTGTACATAGACCAAGAGGGCTGCAATTGAAACAGAGAAAGAAGATAATGCATGTTTTAAATCAGAAAAGGTGTGCATCAGGGTTGTGTCCTTTCACCATACTTACTCAATCTGTATGCTGAGCAAATAATCTAAGAACCTGGAGTATATGAAGAAGAATCCAGCATTAGGCCTGGAGGAAGAATCTTTAACAACCTGCAATATGCAGATGATGCAATTCTGCTTGCTGAAAGTGAGTAAGATTTGAAGCATTTACTGGTGAAGATCAATTTTCTGTATGAATTACAACCTCAACATAGAGAAAACAAAAATTCTCAAAATTGGTCTAATAAGCAACATCATGATAAATGGAGAAAAGACTGAAGTTGTCAGGGATTTCATTTTACCTGGATCCACAATCAATGCTCACAGAAGCTGCCATCAAGAAATTAAATGTCACACTGCACTGGGCAAATCTACTGCAAAACACCTCTTTTAAAGTTTTCGGGATCAAAGATGTCACTTTGAAGACTAAAGTGAGCCACAATATTTACAACTGCCTCATATACATGTGAAAGCTGTACAATAAATTAATTAGACCAAAAAAGAATTGACAGATACAGTTGAAATGTGGTGTTGGTGAAGAATAATGAAAATACCATAGACTGCCAGAAGAACAAACAAATCTGTCCTGGAATAAGTGCAGCTGAAGTACTCCTTGGAAGTGAGAATGGCCAGACTTAATCTCACCTACTTTGGTCATGTTGTCAGAAGGGCCAAGTCCCTGGAGAAGGATATCATGCTTGGTGAAGTAGACGATCAGCAAGTAAGGGGAAGACCTCTAACCAGATGGACTGATACAGTGGCTCCAACGATGGACTCAAGCAAAGCAAGATTGTGAGGATGGTGCAAGACTAAGCAGTGTTTCCTTCTGTTGCACATATGGTCACTATGAGTGGGAGCTGAGTTGACGGCACCTAATGACAACATATACTTGTCATTTGTTGTTTGTGCTTTTGTTACTATATTAGATAATGCATTGTTAAAAGCTAGGCCTGAGAGCCTTGACCTTGCATTTTCTTCTAAGAATTTTATGGTTTTAGTTTACACATTTAGGTCCCTAATACATTTTGAATCATATATGTGTGTGTGTGTGTGTGTGTGTGTTTGTGTATGTATATATGTGTGTATATATATATGTATATATGTGTGTGTATATATATACATATACACACACACACACATATATATATGGTATGAGGCACAGATCCTGTTTCATTTCCCTGCAGGTGGAAATCTTATTTTCCTAATATCAAAAAAACCAAACCTACAGCCGACAAGTCGGATCTGACTCATAGCCACCCCTCCTTGGGTTTCTGAGGCAGTATCACTACGAAAGTAGATTGTCCAACCTTCCTTCTGAGGAATGACCAGTGAGTTTGAGGCACCAGCCTTCTGGTTAGCAATCAGATGGCTTAGGCACTACACTACCGGAGCGCCCATTTTCCTAATAGCATTTATTAAACAGACTCCAGTTTCTCCATTGAATGGACTTAGCACCCTTGTCAAAATTCAGGTGACCACAAATGTGTGGATTTATTTCTGGACTCTCAATTCTATGCCACTGGCCTATTGCTACCAGCATCATACTGTTTTGATCACTGGAGTTGTATAATGTGTTTTAAAATCAGGTAGTATGAATCCTATTTTTTTTGTTGTTGTTGTTCGTTTCTAATATTGCCTTCACTATTTGGCGCTATTTGAGGATTGTTTTTTGTATTTCTCTGAAGAAGGCTGTTGCAATCTTTATCAGGATTGTGTTAAATCTACAGATGTCTTTGGATACTGACATCTTTTATGATATTAAGTATTCAGTGCACGAAAATGGAGTATCTTTCCATTTACTTAAGACTTTTTAAATCTTTCAGCAATGTTTTATATAATTTTCATTATATAAGTCTTTCACATCCCTGGTTAAATATGTTTATTCCACAGAGGTTTTAAAGTGATCAAGGCTACTCTTGGTTTTGATTTTGTTAGAGTATAAGATCTTATCTCAAATACTTAATGAATAGATTACATCTATTGAATGTTTACCATGAATGTGTTTGGTACTGAGCTCAGCATTTTTACATGCATTCTCACTTAGTTTGCCTAATGAGCCTAAAATAGATCATCTCCATTCTATATAATAGGAACCTGTGGCTCAGGAAAAAAAAAAA